CTTGTTCAAAAAGATAACCAGCAACGCCAAGAAAGGTGTGCATGTTGGCTGGGTCTTGAACAGTGAGAGCAACCCGAAAGGGCTGTGCATCATTGATGGCATTGTCGGAGATGCCCAGGAGAACACAAGATTCATGGTCAGGAATTAACTGTGTCATCAAGATGTGAGCAGTAATGCCATTTTCCATGGGACGCGGTGCAGGTGCAATCACGTGGATCTCAACGGGCACTGTCTCAAAAATGTGTTCTCTTCACGCAAAGATCAGGCGTTCTCTCCATTCGGTGAAGTCATCAGAGAGCGTGACTCTTCTGGGTCGAAGACATCGACGCAGACCGCCCCCAGGGCAAAGGAACCAAACAAGAAAGTGTGCAACAGGCGCCTCATTCGCAGCAGCTTGTGCTCCTGTGCGCCAAACATCATGTAAGTCATGGATATCTTCAGGAAGGCCCCAGATGTCAGCTTGATTAGGAATGAATGACGGAGCAAGTGGGTCGAAATCAAAACAGCGACCTTCGCCAGCATGAGGCTGAAACTCCAAACCATTGGAAACAGGAGCTCTTTGCATCAGACTGTTGGCGTCACTAGGAGGGCTGGTGATTGGTGATCTGGCAATGTAGATCACGAAGCCCCATGCGTTGCCAATCTCCTCAAAGTCAACCATGGCAAACGGAAGTCCACGAGCTTGCACGTTGCAGGTGACAGTCTGGCACATTGTGTGGAGCTCAGCCGCTCTGAGTAGGCTACGCACATTCTGAAAGTTGTCAATCGACAAAGCTCGGTGCACCCATCCTTGTTCACTGTATCGCCAGTCAAAATGGCTGATCAAGCAAACCACCTGTCTGGGCAGTGAGTCTTGCTCAATGATCAAGTGAGCTTGAACGCATTCCCATCGATTGCAAGGTGGTGTGGATCTCACAATACGGATGGTAGCAGAAATTGTTTCATCAATCAAATCCGTCCATGGCTCAATAATTTGTTCAACCCAGTCAGATGAATCGTGAGTAAGCCGAGCTGGTCTTCCATCATAGCATCTTTGAGCCCTTCTGTGGTGAATGTACCAAGTGGTTACATACATGATGCGCCCCTCTTCTTCACATTCTACCAGGTCAGCTTGATGAAGGAGAGCCTCCAATTGATTTTGGACACCAGGGCCGAACCTGTTGAGTGAAGGAGGTGGCGCCGGAGCTCCTTGAATCCGTGGCCTAGGGGGAGGTTGGGGTGCAAAATCATCCCCCTGGTTTGGATCTGTCTTGTGACTTGTTCGGCGTGAACAAGTTTGAGCTATGGCGTGTGTTTCTCGCAATGAGATAGAGTGTGCACCGGCAGAACTGCAGTGTACAGCAGAGAGAGCATCGCTGCCAAAATCCCTCGCAATCTCAATGGCCACTTCCGTGTCAAGGGAGGTGTCATGCGGTGGAGGCACCCTCACTCGCAAGTAAGTACCATGACCAATGGTGACAACTCTTCGGTCGGAGGCAGGCCAGAGCTGATGGTTACGGTGAACAATGCAGCGATCTTGCTCAAGCTGGCAATAATCTCGCAGGCCACACAACAACAAGAGCTGTTCCCGATGCAAATGCGGGTTGACTTTCATGACTCTCCTGCTGCTTGCTGCGGGGACCACATGGCCATCCTGATTCGGGTGAAAGTGTATCTCAATGTCAACAAGGACAAGCTTCTCTTCCGAGCCAGGAGCAACATCATCCACGGTCTGCAAAATGATAGCAATTTCCTGATCTGGGAGAAGGTCAACCGGAGGAGAAATGAGTCTGTGAAACCCACGAACAATGCTGCGCGGCAGTCTGCATGCTCTGATAGCGGCACTCAAGATAGCCATGTAGCTGTTGCCTTGTGTGAATCCATGCGCTTCAGGTGCATAAAGTCGATAGACAAGCACGCTGAGATCATCACTGTGCAAACTACTTGCCGATGGTGAAGCAGCAGGTTCAATGTGTTGGTCAGCATCCTCATCCAAGTATCCTTCTTGCGTGTCAAAGTCATGTGACGGTTGGCTGTCTCTGTCCCTGCAAGCGTCGGACTGTGGTGGGCTAGGTGGTGCATGTGCAGGTCCATCTAGAGGCTCAAGGTCGCTAACTTGAATGGCAAAGGCATGACCGGCAAAAACCTCATGCACAGGCCTCAATGTGAACGGAATGCGATTCCACCCATGTGAAATAGAGCATCTGGTACGAGCCTGATTGCAGGGTGTGAGAACATCAGCTTCATCCGCAAGTCTTACTCCACTGACACGCCGCTCCAAAGAGCAGGCTAAGGCATAGGAAAGTGGTGCATGTAAGCGACTGGTCCTGTGCACTGTGATGATGGTGGAGAAGTGGGGGAGCCAATGTCCTTGCGAAATGATGAGATCTGCCTGGGCTGGCCTCGACATGTAGCCACGGTACGGGTCTGGCATTGCAACATGGATCTGAATCTCCTCATTAGGGCGAATGTGGGTTCTCCATGCAGAGCCAAGTTCAATCTCCCAGTGTCGCCAGTCAGCATCATACTCAAGGATGCGTGGATGCAAACATCGCCGATCATCATGATGGTGAAGATACCATGTGCGCACACGAAGAATACCAGCACCGTCCAAATGATTGAAAACACGATGTTGTTCAGCAAGAGCCAAAAGGTCTCTGACGAATTGAGGCGCTCTCACAGGATCCGGTATGAAGTCCTCATCGCCTTCCTCAGGTTGCTCCTCTGTGCGACGCATGTCAGGAGGTAATGGCTGGTGCCAGGCGTCACTCAGACGCAGCATGTTGTGAAGGGGCAAATGCCGGATCGACACGGCCTGCAAAGACAGCGGATCCAAGGCATTGCGATTCACCCGCAAAGCGCGGTAGCAATCATCATCAAAATCATAGCTCCACACATCCGGGCAATGAAACCATCCCCACGGCTTCGCGTGGGCTTCGCAAAAGGAATCATGCTTCACGGTGGTGGAATACATGGTCAATGTGTCCTCTGTACCAAAAAGAACATCGACAGAGTCGCAAAAACGGACGCTTCTTCTCGAAGTCGAAGGTGAATTATCAGGTTTGGAACTCCTGGATGCAATGAGATTGTGGCAGCATCCCACATCTGCCAGATCACCTAAGGTGCCCAACTGGAAGGAAAGATCCAGAGCCAATGAGGAAGCCTCCCATGGCGATGTGAAGTTGGGTTCATTCACAATTGTGTGTCTCCAACCCAATCCAGGGTCAATGAGACAGCTGGATACGGCCGGCTGTCCACAGGGATACATGTCTGTCATCCGCTGTGAGCCTGGGCAAAAGGCTCCATAGCCTTGGAGCCTAAGGCAGCAGAAGCAGAAGATGGTGCGACAGTAGGCAGTGAAGTGCCTGTGTCGTCTGGTGGCTCCTTGCGAGCTCTCTTTTTCAACTGCTGTTCTTCTGCATGTTCCTTGTCGGCCTGATTCGCCAGCTGTTCCAAGGAGGTGGTCATGTGCTCTAAGCCTTCTTGGATACGCCTTGAACTCTCCGTCTTCATAGGTTCCTCTTCCATCATGGCCGGATCCTCTTCTGCATCTATGGTGATGACACCCTTCTCCTGCAGGTTCTTGAAAATGGCTTGTGCACTCTGAACCGCCTCGCGGGCAGTTGCAATCTGCTCCAAGTTGTATTTCTCCTGCGAGAGAAAGTGTTGGGTGTATTCTTGCCAACGTTGCACGGAGAGGTGCAGGAATTGTCTCCATGAAGCTAAGTTCTGGGCTCGAGCAAAACAAGCTTTCTCGAAGGATTGCTGAGCAACTCCTAGGTTCTCGACTGCGTCGTGCATATTCTTGATAGTGCTGAGCCCTTCGGTGAGCTTGGTGTCCTTCACCACTTCCGAAACTTCCGGTGGAAGTTCCGTTTCGTTCTTCTTGAGGACGCCCAGGACTTTTCGAAGCTTGATCTCTGCCTCGGACGGAAAGTGGGTTTCCTGGCAAGGCGCATTGGCCGTTGGGAAAGGCGGTGCAAGCTGTGTCCAAGGAGCGTCTCCGAAACTGGATTGCGGTGGCAGTGGAGGAGGAGGTAATGGTGCCATGCCTTCCTGCCCCAACCTGTGCGCGTTTTGGGCAGGTGCTTGTTGTGGGACTGTTTTCCCACGACCATGACTTCCTTTGCCTTTTCCCTTGCCTTTGCCCTTCTGCAAAACATTGGTCTGTGGATCTCCACCATGGCCATGTTGACGACGAGAGCTTGGACGTTGTCTCTGTCTTGGGCTTTGCGAAGGTCTTCGATTCCAATTCCAACTGGCATCCTGTGTCTGCCCTCGATAAGTCGAGTGGCGAGATGGCGTCAGCGGACGATGGGTGTCCTGCGCTGCAACATCCTGGTGGTCCCTGTCCATGCAAACCTCCCAGTGTTGTCCACAAGCGGGACAATAGATGTCGTTCCCCTTGATCATGCGCCGACAGTCGATGCACTTCCAAGCTGGGCTCTTCTGTGTCGCCATTTCTGCGGAAATGAGCCGAAGGAGAGCAGGATCTCTTGAGTGATGTTGGCTCAAGCTGTTCTTGACTCTTCGCAAACCTGCAGAATCCAGTCGCACAAAGCCACGACGATGTAGGAAGAAACTCCTTCTTGCCCTCGCTCGTGCTCTGCGTGCAGCACGCCTCTGCCCAGCCAAAGCCGTGGTGCAAGGAGCCCTCGTCAAGGAACAAAATGAAGATGAAGAAGACGATCAGTGCCCGACTCATACACAGTGGACCCCAGGTAGAGCAAGTGCAGATACCAAGGTGCCAGAGGATGTCAGGACAAAGTCAAAGAGCAATGGCGTTAGTGGGCTGCCCAGTCCCACCAGAGCGCAAGAAATGAAGATGCAGTGGCAGCAACGCTGGTCAAAGCACCCGCGGGAAATTGCTCAGAGTCCCGCTAAGTTAACCGACAAAGAGGGTAACGGTCGAACCCTGCAGAGCCGAAACCTTCATATCTATATATATAATGGATATTAATGGATATGATAATATCAGGGAGGTCTTCACAAGACCTTTAGTCTGCAGAAATCCAACAGGCCTGGGATCCATGGTGCCCTCTGCAACAGCCCCAGCTCCTGAGGCTCGAAGCTACGGTCCCTACACCATTTATCACTCCAGAAATATGACGTTATACTATTAAATACCGTGGAACATGTAAGAAATAATAAGCATTTAACTCATCTAACCATACAACCTGCAATAACCTGCATCATCTGCATCAACCATGATAATTGAATATTATAACTATAACCCATCAAACAACACTGAGCAATATTTAAACCTTCATTTGCAATTAACACAGATATTAGGAAAATCCACTGAAAAACCACCATTTGTAGATAGGTTTTCATGGGCTACCTCCCTCCATTAAATTAAATCTAAATAAATCTAACACAAAACATTGAAAATCCATTGCACAACCAGCATTTCTAGATCTCTCTCTCTCCTTGCTTTTCCCTTGTTCCACCAATTGGAGTAACCAGATCCACGATTTTTCCTATGGTTTCTCCGAGTTTCTCCATGACTTTTCATGGTTTTCGGTGTTCCCTTGGTGAAACCCCGAGTTCTCCGACCGCTTTTCCTCGGCTCCTCGGTGGCTTTCTGCACCCTCCGCAGCTCTGCCGTGGCCGTGCGCTGCGCCGCCTGAAGCTCGGCCTCCGCGAAGAGCGACGCGCCGCGCAGCACGGCGAAGCCCGTGCGGCGCAGTGCCGCGGCGCAGCGCTGACGGGTGGCCGCAGCGAGGCCACGGCCACCTATGCCGGAGATGACAACAGATATAGGTGAGAAATACAGATCAATCACAAGCATAATATAAAATAATATAATATAATATAATTAAATATAATATAATATAATATAATATAATTAAATATAATATAATATAATATAATTAAATATAATATAATATAATATAATATAATTAAATATAATATAATATAATATAATATTATTAAATATGATATAATATAATATAATATAATTAAATATGATATAAAATAATGTAAGATAATATAATATAACTAACAATCAATGATAGAATATTGTAAAATATGATAAGTGCATTGAAAAACAATCACAAATAATAGAGTCTCCATTGAAATGATGTGGAATGATTCTGGAATGATGTAGATATGTATTGTATGAATACTTTTTTATATCTCTACATGCTCCTGTCTGGCAGGTTAAAGTGCGAAATTCTCTGCGTTTAGGGCGATAAAAGATGATAAAAGAGGTCCCACACTGCAACATGTGAGAAAAGTGGCGTTCTGTACAACTCACACTCACTTAAGCAGCTCCGCCCTGCACTAGCTCTTCATGGGCAAACATCACCCATCATCACCCATCCATGGTTTTGGCATCAAGTATATACATACATACACACCTATAGAATCCTATAGATATCTATAGATATACAGATATAGTGTGCGAGCTCAGGATGTCTTGGATTGGATTTTGTTACTGGATGTGTCGCCTCATCTTTGGAGCTTTTCAAACTGAAAGGCTGCTACCAGCAAGTGTGACCATGACATCTTCAAAACATCCCCCCAAAATAAAAAACATCAAAAGGAAGCCCTCCACAATCCCTCCGCAGATGCCAACGGGGCCTTCTTCTTCAGACACCTCCACCTCCCAGTCTTGAAGCTTTACGCTTGGTACACGCTGCGATGGCGCGATGCTGAAGGTTTGACGATACACCGCCCCAAACAAGAGACCAGCCACCAGAATCACCAGAACTCCGAAGCGATGCCGCGGCGCCATGGCGAGATCTTGGAAGGTCCTCCTAAGGGTGATTGAGTAGCTGCGTAGCTAGTCTCAAGGGGATCAAGGGATATCAAGGGGCATGTGGCGGGGACAGAATGCACAAATGGCAACTCTCAGATGGTGCAACTTGGAACCTCGCTGGATGCCCTTGCTCAAGGCTGAAACCAAAACTAGAAGTGTTGCCGCGGATTGCAACAAGCCCATTCTCTTGATACCCCCTGCCAAACACCAACATGAGGCCTCATATCCCAAACACAGTGAGTATCAGTGAGTTATACCTGGCTTCACTGGTTCAAAAGTAGCTCCGTTCAATGGCAGCAACAGCCCTTGCCGCCACGCCTGGAAACAGGTGCTACAGCGCACCTGGCATGACACAGATCATAGTTGATCAATGTTGATCATAAACATGCCGAGAGGGCCCCTCTGGTGCCAGCCAACCTGCCACAAGGAAATATCATGTATCATGAAATAGATTGAAATATCCTGCCCATCAAATCTGACTCATCATGCTTCATGTAAACAATTTCGCTTCCTTGTCATTGCTAGGATGCAGACGTAGTCTGTAGCGCCGGTGCCCCATCTCACGATCCAACACCTCATACCTGGTATCAAGGCACAGGCACCGTGTCCATCAAGGATCTTCACTCATGATGTGGTGCTTTCAAGCCGCCAGGCAATATCCCCAATGTTTCATCATGAAATCCCCATTTTGCCTGGTGAAATCCCTTATCCCGTGATTTTCCCATTCGCCAGTCGCTTTAGGATGCTCTGGGATTTCGGATCTCGCCAGTCATCAAACCTCAAGCCACGAGGAGCTCCAGGACAAACAATCTTGGAGAAGCTCTTCTCGCAGAGATCCTGGTGCCCACATGCGATCTGTGGCAATCCCCGTCGGCTGGAGATTTGGGTTTGTCTGAAGCTAAGGCAGCTAGGGTATCATAGGGTATCCCTGTTTTGAGCCATGGTATGCCATAGTTCATTGTTCATCCTTTTCCCACTTAGATTTGCCACAAAGATTGCAGCTTAACTGATCCATTTTCAGTCACACCCAGTTCTTGTTGGTTATTAATCCCATTAGATTCCATTGATCACATTTAATTCCCAGTAAAATGAAGGATCCCTTACTAAGCCTTACTAGTTGTCCCACTGCAACGAACTCTCTCCTTGGCTTCACGGATAAGGGCCGTGGTCTTCTCAACACCATCGGTGATGGTCACCTAAGGCATGAGGGGTTCAACTGACTGGCCTAAACAGGTCAGGTTGGGTGGTTTATAAGTGGCTGGCTCAGCTAGCTAATTATAAGGTAATGACTCATGACCCTTTTCTGGTTAGGTAAGTGGATCGAATTCGATTAAAATTGTATGATTCTAGGTAATGACCTACCCGCCCTCTCTCTCTCTCTCTCTCTCCATCGCCATCTCAAGGAGATCAGCAGTCATATTGGGAGATGGGGTTGCTAACTGCAGGTTAGCCAACCCATGGCCCATCAAACCAAATGAAATTCAAGTATATCCAAGTGCACCCAGAAACCCAACGTCAACTGTCAACTCCAGACTCAAGACTGTTGACCACAAAACAGAATCAGCATGGAAAAAATGCATCAAATTTACAGCATCAATCCAATTGTGGTTTGGATGTTCAATGGCCAATGACCAAACAGTTTGCCATGCCTTGTCTGGGTGCAGCTTCCGCATGAGATTTCGGTAGCTTCCTTAGGGTGCAAACCATGTGGCAATGGAACACACCCATGGCCGACCTGAGGGCCCGACGCTGGACAGAACCAGGCTCGCAGGAAGCCTGGGTGTTTGGGGATCACAACAATCCGACTGGTCGTTCCTCTTTGGAGGCACACAGGGTCTCCCAACTGAATCCTAGTTTTGATGGCAAAAACTCGCTGAGCAACCAGGAGTGCTACTAGGGGTCCACATGCCTGAAGTGGACAGAAGTGGACTGCAGACTCATCTGCAACAAAACTCACCCACTGCCAGGCCGCCGAGTGACTCCCAGCACCGTGAAGGCCCATTCTGTAGTGGTGCGGAAGGCCTGGAACCATGGGAGCCAATGGTACACAGCCTAGTACGTTTTTGAAATGGGACCCCTGACCAGCACAATCATTGGACCCACATCCATACCCATGGAAAATTATGGAAATCCACCCAATTCTGGCAAACTGATCCAAAATTTAGAGGAACTACTCACACGCATGTCAAAAACAGGTGGATGTGGAATTTGTGGAACACATCCACAAACCTAACGTATTAATCATATTGAAGGTTGTCAGATCCGTTCAATTTGTTCCGCCATTCACAAACACCCTGCCTCCCGCCGCAAGGGCAGGATCCTCAAGACCTCTTCCTGGGCCTGGTATCGGAAGCTTCTGTTCATGGGGACTTCGCGTGTCATGAACCTGAAATAAAATATTTCCCCGCCTGTCAGGTGAGGGCCTCTAGATTTGAACAAAAATGCAATTCCTCACTCCTTCGCTCGCACCTCCTTTTCCCTGCTTGTGCCAAGATGAATGCCAGAAAGAATGTTAAAAACAATGTCAGAATACATGCCAGATGCGAGATAGAGTGCCAAAACGCATGGAAGAAAGAATCAAGATAGGATGCAAGAATAGACGCCAGATAGAATACCAGATAGAATGACAAAGTAAGCGCTGGATAGAATAGAACGCCAAAAAGCATAGCAGAAAAAATGTCAGAACATAGGCCCGAGAAAGGATGCCAAATAGAATGCAAAATAGATGCCAAATAGAATGCCAGAAAAAATGCCAGATATAATGTCAGAATGCATCTGTCTACCACATATATTTCCATACGATTTGTCAAAAACTTTCAAAAACTATGGCAGAACCCGCCGACCCTTGCCAAAAGCAGGGGGTGCGCGTCGGAGAAGGAATTACCCAATAAACTTGATTGGTTTTCTTTTGTCTAAGATCTATTTGGTAAGTTTTTTCTACTAGACCATTTTTCAGCCCAAGACAACACGATTTTTGGTTAAAAACGACTTTCAAAATTACTGTCTGAATCAAATTTGTCTTAGACAATGCTCTTGTCTGAAACCATTTGTTGGTCTGAAACAACCTGAAACAACCTCAAAACAGCTTCGAAAATGCATGGAAACTTCCGCAAGACTTCCTCGTGTTTTTTGGTTCACATGTTTCACATTTTGCAATGAATACGACAGAAACGTCCGGTAGAAAGAAAAGGATACACATAGGATTACATAGGTCTTTGATGGTCTTTGTACATTGATGGAACCTGTAATCTCCTCCACGGTCTTTTTTCGCGGTACACTGCTGCACTGCATCCCAATCATCTCAATCCGCAATGCATCTGCAGACTGACACACCCACGTGCCAACATCTTAGGCAACCAAATCCACTGGTCTGTCTTTTTGTCCATCTGCATGTGCGCGTGCTTTGGCGCCTTTGACACATACCATCACAAACCCAATTTGGTCACCAGCTCTGGAGGCGACTTGAATCGAAACAGTTTGGCTCAATTGCGCATATCCATGCGCACCCCACGAGCAATGACTAAGAGTTTTTGGAGCAACGACATCAAAGAAATTCTAAGGGAAATTGAAATTCTTGACATCTGACAACATGTGAAAAGCACGAGGATCTGCCCTACCTTCCAAGGTCCCATTCCGTCGCTGGCCTCTCGGTCCCGGCTCGTTACCTGGTAGCCAATCAGCTGCAATTCGCTGGATTGATTTGACGTCTCCTTGTTTCCTGGGAAATGATCTTTACCATATGTACGCTATTGCAGTATGTTTCCCATTGTTTCCTCCTGTCTCTTGTCTACCCCTTTGATATTCTTTGATCCTGCGGTGGAACCTGCCTGGGCACTGGGTTTGGCCGGCGGAGAACTCTGCGCCTGCGACAACAGCGATACGTGGTTGAAAGATTTGAAAGCCAAAAAACATAAGTAAGCCCAATGCCCCAAAAGTCCCACTAAGTAACTGCCCAACATCCACAAAGTAAAATCATTCTTAATATGTAAAATATGTAAACTGATCTATATATGTGATGTGATACTCCCTGGTAATTTAACATAGCTATTGAAAATGGCCATTTATAGTGGATTTTCCCATTAAAAATTGTGATTTTCCATAGTTATGTTAGTTTACCAGAGGGTATCTGCCAAATGCAGACACAGATCGGCCTCTGCCCTCGGAGCTGTCGAGGCCGTGGCTCTTTGACGCCCTGGGACCTTGAACGATCATCCAGCTGTCCAGGCATGAGAATCTGATGTGGAAATGACCTACTTTCATGGGAGGTTCATACCCAAGTGAGATCTACATGGAAGCTCAAAAAAAGAGATGCCTCATGGACTTTCTCACAACAACTTAGATCCAAAAGCCTTTCTTCGTAGTTTGGTCCTGTGTCCTGTGTGCCACTAAACCTGGCAGGCCAAAAACCAGCCACTCGGCGCCCCCCTGAAGTCGACCAGCGCTTGGGCGGACCTCATTCTGCGTGCAAAAGCTCCGCCAACGCTCCTGCAACTCAACTGCTTCGAGTCGGATTTCTATAGTTTTCATGTCTAACTTCTTGGCGTTCACTATTCAAATCCATGGAAATCCGTGGGCGATGTCTACTAGACTCTCCTGAAGGTCAGATTTCTCCACGCAGTCGCTGAAGTCGATGTTGTGCTGGCTGAGTAGCGCCTGGTTCAGGTCACTTATCTGCGTACTGGATGTGTTATGGACGGCTCAAGCCGCAACCTGAAGGCGTGGTTCTGCCTATGCAGAAACTGCACCCCGTCTCCCAAGATAATTCCAGTCATGAAATATATTGAATGCATGGCGCTGTGATGCCACCCCAGCTTTCCATACCGTCTTCCCCCCATTTGGGTATCAGTCAAGTTGAGCTCACCCCAAGATAAGTCACAATACCCAAGATATATCAAGAATGTGGGATTGCAAAATACATGGGATTACATACTCCGTGTTTCCCCGTGCCTTCAACTTGCACATCACACAACGGACCCTTTTTTTCAGACCCTCCGCAGCCGGGAGCGGTTGTCGTCGCGACCAGTCGCACTGTGCACCTTTGGCACGGTGGCTGCGGTGCTTCTGCCGGTGGCTTTGGCCAGTGACTGAAGCTGCCCACGCGGCCGGTTGCGCATGGCCAAGTGAGGATGGATGGCTTCACTGGGAATCCATGGGGGTTCAGTTGGATCATGGTAGTCCAAATGGTGAAAGATCTTCAAACATGTACAAGCTTATGTAACCAGCTTCGAAGGTCACAAAATCTGTGACTCGTGGTTCCATTTCTACGTGGCGACCAGAAGCAACCGGCCTTTGGCATAAGAAAGCTATTTTGTTAAGGTCATGATTCATGGTGCAGTTCCAAGCGAAGCGAAGAATCTCTGCCATAGCTGCATCACGAAAGGAGCTGGCACCAGAAGCCACAGGCCCTGAGATGCTCAATGGCAAGCACCATCAAATATTCACACGATTTGCAGGTTAAAAATTGCAGCCAAGTAACTTCTGCTCAGGCTTTTTGGCAACAGTGCCTGGTAGAGTGTCTTTTGCAGGTTCGACATCTGCCGGTTCTGGTAGGGCATCCCTCGGCCTGGAAAATGGGTTTGGAGGCATGCCGATATATGCAAATGTACGGTACATGCTGCATGCCCATAACATTATATCTCGCCACAGAACAGTAGTCATTGAATATAATAACATGTATAATAATAATGCTTTGACAAACTGATGGGTCAGTTTGCCAATGAGCATTGCAAGAAAGATTCATGGCGTGCTACAGACACTGTATTGCATGTCTAGCTCCCCACAACACTTGCTGGAGGAGTTCATGAACCGGATAAAGTGGGCAGTGCAGTTCCAATTTTCATGTGTGGCATTTGTATGGATCTGGTGCGCATACGGCCACGTATATAACGTCATCCAATATCCACAAGGAGGAGATACATAGGTTCGCATATTTGCAGATTACACTAACATGCAAGATTATGCACATGTCCTTGTACAAACAGTGCCGAAGATTACATACGTCCTATTTTCAGCCAATATTCTCTAGTCGCATCGTTCTATGTAAGCTTGTATAAATATCCTAAATCCCCCTTATGGCCCCCAATCAACAAATCCAATGCTAAGCCAGGATTTCTCTAGGAGGTGGTATTTGAGATTCGGGAAAATGGATTCTAATTGCGGTTGATGATGGTTATTGATGGTCTTACGTGTTGAATGTGGTAAACTAGTTGATATATATATATATATGTTAATAAACAACCCCCGATATTACCATAAATAGGCAACAATGGGTTGCAATTTCTGTCCCAAGTGGTCAGTCTCTTGTTGGGTTTACTAACATTATATACTGATTCTTATGTAGTTGATTAATACCGTCCCCCTAATATTAAGCACCCATTGTTTGGTCCCAATTAATTACTATATGTGGAAATTCTCTACTAAACCATGGTTTCTAGGAGGTGTTTGATATTATTATTTTTTTTTAGGGGGAGGGTCTATTAATTATATTAATTAATGTTTACTATATCATTATATATTATCAGATTATCATATATATCATATACCCTCTGGTAAACTAACATAACTATGGAAAATCACCATTTTTAATGGGAAAATCCACTATAAATGGCCATTTTCAATAGCTATTTTGACATAACCAGAGGGTATCATCATATATCATTGTCACCAGGCCCGCCTCGATAACGCCGTCTGATGGCGCTTTGGCACAGCCATTGGCTTCTCCGCCACCACCTCATGGTGGGTCGGGGCGTCTTTCTGCCAATGCAAGCGCCACTTCCCCAAGGAACGGCCTGCAGGACGGTCGTGACGGTCGTCTTCCAGTACCCTCCGCCATTCTTTCTGGTTAAAATAGATCCCAAGAATGGAGGATTAGAATTCCCGATATGAATATTTGGGCAGTATGTATATATATATATATATAATAGATTATAATAGTATATAACTCCTTACAATCATCAATCAACACGGTGGTTGGACGCTGCTCGACCCTATATTTTTGCAGATTTGGAGGCCATAACCCCAACTGCAGCTGTTTTTGAGGCCCTGGCCAGCGAAGTTGATTAACTCCAGCTGCATATGATCCCTGGCACTGGGGAAACTCACTGCAAGTGTTGTGCATCACAATTGGCAAGTGGATAATGGCATCTATACTGTCTATACTGTGACTGTAACTATGTTATATACATGCATGTGTTTACTTTTATCTATAGTTATATGTTGTATTATTATTTCATTATATGTATATATATATATCATTAATATATATTTCACGATATTTAAAAATATGTACTGTATAATATATATATATATATTATATATATATATTTCTATTTGTATTGGTTATTGGCAAGCAACAAATTGAGATGCACATCCAGGTAGGGTCAAAACGGGAACCAGCGATCCCATCCAGCATATCCAGCCGTCGGGAAATTCGCGAGCCGGGACCCTTGGGACCTATCCACCGTGACTTCATAGAAGCCATAGCCTAAGCCAGGCTGTCTGGAGATCATCCCACAAATCTAGCCCCGAATCTCGTATAGAACGGCAGCGCCCAAGCAAAATCCTGAATCCGAGCTTCCTAACATGGCAGATTGAACACAACTTTCATGAAGTGGAATGGATCATAATGGATAATCATGGATAATCTATATTCATCTATATTCAATCTATACGGCACTATATTCAATATATTCATAATCAGTCAGTCACTTCTTGTTCCGTGGCCAGGGCACTGTTGCTGTCATCTCCATGGGATGGAGCCTCAGACAGGATGCCCCCACCACCACCTGCCGATAGCGTCAGCGAGTCAGCGACATCCCACAACGGGCTTAGTTGTTTTGGGGCTTGGTCTTGATGAGGGGGAAAAAACAACGAAGAAAACAACGAAGAAAAATGGAGAAACAAAACATCGATGAAGCTTTAGATGTGGACACAATGTTGACAGCCCGACGCCTGAGATCACGCACATGAGACCTGCACGAGTTGCGGCTCCCACAGTGCTCCCACCAGTTGACCGATTTGACCGCTTGTTGTAGCCTCCTTACCATCCGACCTGTCACTACAATATCTACAATAGTGTGACAGCACCATTACACCAATGATTCAATGATATACTAGAAAAGTTCGTAAAAGTATCATGGATCTTCACGTTGTCCATACCAAATCTTGTGGGATCCATTGGGATCCCATCCCCGGCCGGGCGAACCTCCAACTGGACTTGTTAGCTGGACATGGGTGTGCCCAGTAACCATAAGGTCCAAGCCAAATTGCGCATGCCTCGGGGAGGACATGCCCACCGCTAACGACTATGTTGTGTTTTCGCCCTGTTTCATCCTATATCCCATTTCATGCGATTTCAGACAGGGTCAACATGCTAGGGACAAAGGACTCATGTCTCTAGTGTTGTGGATGAGAACCGGTGTCGCTACCAAAACTTGCCACCAAGTTGCAGCTTCTGATACCACGGCGCCTAGGAAGATGACGCGAAATCCCCGCCAGCTTAATCCCCAGACTGGATGCAGAATCTCTTTGACCACTGCTCAACCGGGAGAACCAAATAACCAAACTACTGCTCATGGAGTAGCATACTCTGCAACTCACAAAGGATGGAGGCTGGAGGCTTTTACCATTAATAACCCAGTGATCGTTGCAGTAAAACTTCCAGGGACATCCACACAGCACTAAAGCCTGAGAGCCTACTAGCAAACCAACTTGTGGCCAAACCCCTCCGGTCTCAAAACAACGGACAGGTTGAACCCACCCACACACACACACACTTGAAAGACCGTATCTCGTCTATGAGTCTTTTGATTCCCGATAGGGTATCTGAACTGAGTTCAGAAAGGCCGTCTTTGTCCACTTTGGACAAAAGTCGCAGAAATTGGTAAAAACTGAAAAAACTGACAAATGCGTAACGGACTCCAATTTCTCGAATTATTCATGCATATGACAAAAGACTAACCGAAAATGCATCAACAAGCTTGAATAATGAGAAAACATCATGACCAACTGCAGGTACGTCAGGGTGATCAGCCCTGATATCCCATCCAAGACCGTAGCTTCATTGCACACGGTGGGTCAAGGATGCCGTGTGCCCCTGCTTGTAAATTGGGAACTGTAACTAAAAATTGGACATGTGATAAAAGCCCTTCGGAACAGGGGTTGCCCCCACACACACACACAGACACACACACACACAACGCTCTTGCACCTGGTGCCCACATGGAAAGTGCGTCACCTCAGCCCGCCAAAGCTTCAAGGGCTTGGGGCAGCCAGTTGTGTCATGACATTTATTGGGAGCAGCTGGCAGCATCTGCCAGCTATCCACCAACGCATCAACTGAAGCCGGGACACGATCACCTGCCACCTGGCCTTGGAGTTGTTGAGTTTCTTCTCCGTCCATGCGACCTGTTCCTGGCGCGGATGGGAGCTGATGGAATAAAAAAAAACTTATCTGATGTCTTCGAGTCTGCCACCCTTCGATCACGAAGATTGACTCAGCTTTCCAACCCAATGGGGTTCAGGTTCCCGGGTTGGGGAGTTCCAGCCTTTCGTTTCCACCCCGGTGTTTTGGTTGGGCACAGCAAGTAAACAACGCACCACTCCCACACCCAGAGACTGAAACCCAACAGTCTCTGCTGTTTCAGATTTTCGAAAATCAGGATCCTCTATGATCTTTCATACACTCGGTGCGGAACCATAAGGGCCGATTTTCGTAGTAAATCATCCACCTAATGGGGATGGGACCACATGGCATGGTGGAAAGCCCACAACAGCCAGCTGCGCGCTCTCTGCCTGCCACAGCTTCGCGAAGTAAACTGGGCCTCGCTTGCAGCATAAGGAATCTGTTGGTGGAGGTGCCTTGAGGTGATTGAAGACCAAATAAAAATCAGTTGGAGCCTGGGCTGAAGATTTTTAGAATCTTCATCTCATCATTGTGGCGTGGTATGATCCCAGTTAAAGTCCTGAACCAAGTGGCACTCCCCAGGATTGGCAGGCCCTCCAATGGAGGCGCAGTTGGCGTTGCTGTTGTGCTGTGCACTACATAGGTTCCTTGGCTGATGAAGTGGGTTGGTGCAATGGCAGGCCGTCTCAAAATTGAGCACCCAAAGCCCCTGTGGCATATATGGTTTATGGTTTATCACAATGTCCCCATCGAACTGAAAAAAGGAGCTTCCCAAATATTGACTCGAACGCATCATTCAGAAAACCATTGGACGGATTCTTGCAGTTTGTCGCGTTTGCCGTGCTCCCGTTTAACGCTGATGGAAGCTGCCCAGGGACGTGTTTTGCAGGACGGTGGAAGGCACTGCGTCCTATCGGATACCCCTGGACCCATGGTTTCCTTCAGTCGCCACAAACTCCGCGCCTCACTGTTTGAATCAAGCAGTAGGATGTCCATGTCGAAGCCCTTGTCTGGGAAGTTCACCTGAGTGGCATCAGCAAATGAATGCAGCTGGGACATATTTTGCACAAAGAAATGCTCTGCAACATTACTCTTAAGGATAGTATTATATAACTTTTCAAAGCCAAGAAACTAGACGACGGATGGCCCGAGAGCGTAGAGTAGAGGAGCATAGTGAGAGGTATAAGTATGAAGACCTTATAGCATGAAACATAAATATAGAAATATATAATATATATACGATGATGCCTAAAATGAAGAGACATGGTGCAGACATGTTGTGAAAAGTAGGTACATATGAAGAAATTGAGAAATTGAAGGAGAAAGAAAAGAAAGATGAAACGAAGGAGACACAGGAAGAAGGATTGAGACAAACATTTTTACATACAAGCATGCTCATACATACAAACGTGCCTCACACAACCGTAGTTTTACACACAGGTTCTTTACCGCACCAACACTTTTACACACAAACACTTTTACATACTTTTACACACAGACGCTTTTACACAAACGCTTTTACACACAGAGACTCTGTTACACACAGACACTTTTATACACAAACACGTTTACACGCAAAGCCTTTTACACACGAACTGTTTTGCACACAAACAATTTTACACACAACCCTTTTACACACAAACACTTTTACACACAGATGCTTTCACACACAGGCCCATTCGCACAGAACCACTTTTACACAGAAACACTTTTACACCCAGACGCTTTTACACACAGACCCTTTTACACACAAACACTTTAAACGCAGACGCTTTCACACACAAACACTTTTACACACAAGCACTTGTAGACGCAGACCCTTTACCAGAACCAACCAAACTCGCAAAAAAACCCTCAGTTTTTGACGATCGAACCTCATTTCGTGCGAAAGGGTGGCCATTTCGTGGCGCCTCGTCGGCACCGCCCGCTTAAGAGAGAAAAGAAAAAGAAGGAGAGAGACCGTGACAGGGCAAGAGGGCAAGAGAAAGAGAGAGAGAGAGAGGGAGAGGGAGAGGGAGAGGGAGAGGGAGCGAGAGAGAGAGAGAGGGAATGAGAGAGAGAGAGAGGGGGAGAGAGAGGGAGAGAGAGAAGATGTGAAGATGTGAAGATGTGAAGATGTGAAGATGTGAAGATGTGAAGATGTGAAGATGTGAAGAAGAGAGAAAGAGAGAAAGAGAGAGAGAGAGAGAGAGAAGATGTGTGAAGATGTGTGAAGATGTGTGAAGATGTGTGAAGATGTGTGAAGATGTGTGCAGATGTGCAGATGTGCCGTGCAGATGTGAAGATGTGAAGATGTGAAGATGTGAAGATGTGAAGATGTGAAGATGTGAAGATGTGAAGATGATCTGTGTAGGTGTGAAGATGAAGATGAGAAGATGTGGAGAGAAGATGTGTGAAGTTGTGCAGATGTGAGGGTGTGAAGATGTGAAGATGTGAAGATGATCTGTGTAGATGTGAAGATGAAGATGAGAAGATGTGAAGATGTCAAGATGTATAACAGACCCCCACTATAAGAAGAACCCTTCGCTCAGATGCTCTCGGGAAAAGGTAACTGTAACTCATCGCAAGGCATTATACTCTATACGTCCAGCATTGCTATGATTTATGGAAAGTGGCCTGTTGTTGCTGGCTTACCTTTTGAGAAATGTGATTGTCCTACCCCATCAAGTTGTTCCCATGGGCAAAGTCAACCTGCAACATCTGCTTGCAGACGAGCATCGTGCTGCATCCAGTACTGCGCCGGGAGCCGCCACCTGCCCACGAATTTGGCTCCAGAAGTTTGTGGCTCCAGCTCCCTTCACCTGTCTATCCCAACACACCTGCCCCTCCCAAAAAAATCTAAAGTATCCGGTATCCTAAAGTCATATCATCAATACAACACTGTTACAGCACGTGATAGTGATAGTGTCAGTTCTTCTAGTTGCAGGGTCATATCCGGGTGCGATGGTCATCCAATTCTATTCATCAGAAAAAGGCTCCCCGCTGGGTCCCCGGACTTCGGATTATGCCATGTATAGCCAATCCTTAGGAGGCCAAGTGTTGGTGCTTCAAGAATGCCAGGATACTTGAAGATCTTCTTGATTACCTTCTTGATGATGCAGCTGATGCTGCTGCTACTGCTGATGATGATGAGGAGGAGGAGGAGGCGGCGGGTGATGATGGTGATGATGGTGATGATGGTGACGACGATGACAGCGATGACAGCGATGATGGATTGTGATGACAATGTGTTGTGGTTACTGGTAGTCGACTTCTGGTTGCCATTATGAATGTTTGTATGTGGTTATTGTCTTTATGATTAAGATATATGCATATATGGATATAGATACATGTATATTTATTATATTATATTGACATATATATATATATCATTATATCATGTAATGTTACCAGTGCCGTGCTTTTTTCTCGCTCTGGCTACTAATGTTGGGAGCGCCAAGCATCTGTTGATCCCAGGCAGCAGAATACATCCAGCCTCCGTAGTCGTGATTCCTGTTGGCAGCGCTGTTGGACGCTGCAGGTGGGATGGGAACCTTTTGGGTGTGTCCAAAAATTGCAAAAATGATAGGGAAATGATGGCAAAAGTATTTTGGAAAATGATGATAAGCTGATAAACCACAAATTTTGTTGTGTGTTTTTCCATTTTCAGATAAACCCAATCAGCCTGCGGCTGGCAGCCCATGTCCACTCATTCAGTTGGTTTTGAGGCTTTTGAGGCCCCCTTCCCACTCAAGCCCAGCCATCCACAGAATTCCCACAGAGGCTCCCAAGGACACTCAACCAAGCGATGTTCAACTCTTCCGTGTTGTAGACATGATTGTAGATGGTGTCGAACCTTGGCTTGATAGCTATTGATAGCTGATGGCTGCTCGCCAAGCCACATGAAATCGGCTTGGCTCCCAGTGACATCTTTTTGAACCGTTCATCCCCTATTCGGCCCATGTATGACATATGATTCATATGATCAATTCCTTTCTCGTACCCTAACTTTCACACGCAAGGAGGCAAATGGACGTTCAGCCCCTGCCAGGAGACATGTGTCCAGTAATCTGATGAACGCCCGCGATGGAAGAAGTACCGCACTGCAGCGGGATGCCGCCCCAGTAAAAGTTGTCGCCCACCTTGCCATGGGACTTGGGGGACCTTCGATCAGCAAGTGGTGCGAAGCCACTACAAAAAAAGGACAAGTAAGTCACCAATGAGTAGGCAATCAAAATTTATAACTTATAACTTTTTAGAACTTATAACAACTTTTCTAACTATTATAACTCTTCCATTGCCATCCATTCTTTGGAGATATTTCTTGACATTGAAATGCATTTCATGACACTTACGCCAGTTACGCACCGCTGCAGCTTCGGGCATCCCGGCATTAAGGACGAATTTGGGCTTCGATTGGGCAGCTCGCTGCTTCATTTGGGTTGCGACCAACAAGCCGGGTTCATAATCCACGCTGTCGTTATACCCGCAGTTTGGCTTGCAACCATTCCCACCACGAGCATTGAAGCAAATAGACCTCAAATGACCGGGATCAGCAGCACAAATCCTTGGGGTAGGAGGTGAACCATTCAAAAAGTTGATGTTCCAATGGAGGAAGTAACAAAAACCACAAAAACCATGTTTAAGGGTGCACCCTGTGGGGCCATTTGGTTTTGAAGTCCATCATTTGGATGAGAAAAAGGGGGGAGTTACACATATGTGAAGAGTAAAGTGAAGGAAGCACAGCAGATCTGCTGGAATGGCGGTCAGCCAGTGTCAAGCACTATCTATAAAAAACGTAGTTTGACGGCGTGGGCTACGAATTGCTGACCGAAGTGGCATGATCATCAAAGCACAAGAAAACGGACGGTGTACTCCCCCAAAGATCCCCAAAGTACAATGGCTGAGACCCAAACTAATCACAAAATCATTGGCGCACCAGGCTGGTGCAGGAAGTTACCCAATTTGCAGCCATGCGACATCTCACCATCTGTGCAGCCACTGGGGCGGTGGGCAAAGACGTGGGGGCCAACCTCCATCCCACCATTGTATTGAACCATCCTGGCCGCATCGATCTGGTGAAATCTGGGGGCTCACCTCTAATGCAGTGGATCCATCCGCAGCGTCCTCAACCCGCCATTTGGCGGCACCACAGCTCCATCCATTCCGCCCCAGTCACCTTGAGATCCAGGGTTCAAGGATAGCTCAGGAACCTTCAACATTGCCAGGCCATTAGGGTCCAGGCCGATGACCATGAAAGTCATCGTTTCCGAGCCATGGAGGATCCTCAGTTGGCTGCCCAGCTAGTTTTCGGGTCATGTCATCCAAGCTATATCATATGCTATATCATGTCTCCTGCATCCAGTGAATCCATTGATGACAGCCAGGTCTCATCTCCGGCCATTCGATGCCATTGTGTTCGGTAGCAGTGTCGGGGATCTTTGGCATTGGCGCCGTGGCGCCATTGAGACCTGAATATTTCCTTGGCAGATTTGGAGGCAAAAGCCTATAAACAGCATCTGACAGCACTTAGCAAAATGAATCAAGATGGATCAAGATGAATCAAGTGTGTGATAGCTTCGTTGACAAGCCGCTGTTGAGGCAGCGAGGGTCCATTTCTCACTGTCTGAGGGCCAGGTACCTGTCCATGGACAGCATCCAAACCCAGGCATCTTTCAGAGCGTTTGGGTTTGTACTGTTGATCATTCCTTCCCCTTTTCAAAATGACCCCACCGGCACCCATCTCTTGCCACACCCGGCTTGGACAGCCTTGAGGCCTTCCCGAGACCAGTGCAAGGACTCTCTTCCAGCATAAGCCAGTACCACCAGCACGAGACCCGAGGCGTATTTCCAGTACCTCGGCGGCTCAGCAGTTCCAAAGTTGCGGCCCTGCCACCTTTATCATGAACCGCGGCCCGGCCACTTGCAGTTTGGGTTTTTCAACCCCATTGAACTGACAGATAACCATGCTAGCTGCTACATCATGATAAGGGTGCCGGTAGAAGAAAATTCCATTGGATTTACATAACCTTTGCAAATTGCATTTCGAACACTATTTCACTGTATTTCACTGGTAGGTAATCCAATCGTGTTCTAGTTACCCTCTGGTAATTTAACATAGCTATTGAAAATGGCCATTTATAGTGGATTTTCCCATTAAAAATGGTGATTTTCCATGGCTATGTTAGTTTACCAAAGGGTAGGTGTCCATAATCCCATCCCTGTACCATCCTTTCAAGCGCCTGGGCGGAACGAAGACTGCTCTTTGGCCTCTTGAAGTGCCATCGAGCGACAACGAAAAATGCCAGCGGGGAAAATACGGGATTGGCCTCGCCCAAAACTGGGGATGCCCAGTTTTACCTCACCCAATAAAAGAAGAATCAATAGAAAAAATTAGAAAAACACATCAAAAGTGTTAAATAAGGAAACAAACAGATTGGGAATCTTGTTGTCGTTGGACCTCCCTACACCAAGTCCTGTCTGGCGCCTCTGGTGTTTTCACCCTCCAGCAACTCGGTTTCTTCCTGCAGCTGCTATAAATCAAATTGTAGAAAAAACTGTTGGAGGATGTGGTGGCTGGTGGATGACGTTTAGCACATGCTTTCTGGTTTCCAACTGTTCTGTTTACTCAAATCTGTTTGTGGGGCTTGCTATGACCGGAATCAATTCCTGGTTAAGACCCAGGATGACCCATTAGTTCTGCAGTTTCATATGCCCTCTCACTGTCCTACCTCTGGGTTCTCGTCCATCAGCAGGTTCCGGCCCATGTCGTGTACTGACAGGTTTGATTGCAATTCAAAGCGTTGAAAATCTCTAAAAAAACATAGAATATACGGGGATCTCCGGATCTCCTTGCTGGGTTGGCTGAATGGCTGAATGCATTGGCAAAAAGTCGCTATGTTGGTCGGAGGAACTGGGTTTGTCGAAACTGTTCAAGGGTGGGGTCCGAGCCAGAAGTGATGCGGGCACTCAAAGGTTTCATGCCCTACGCTCCGATCAATGTCTTCAGTCTTCAATTGACCCCCAGAAAGTGAAAGAGAACATCCCACTCAAATCACTCTTGACGCCGGAGTCTTGTTGAAGACATGGTGGAAAGTTAGGGAACGGCGCACGTTTGGATGTGCCTGTTAAATCCTGTTAATAGAACACTTCAAATCCCGTGGTTGATCACCATGTGCTATCATATTTTTTCTCTCATTTGAATTGCCGGAAATTTGGGGGCCCATCATCCATTTTGGACACACCCATATAATGTCGCATGATTTGGTTGTATGTCTCATTCAATCCCCAATTTTGGTTGCTTAAAATCGCGTGAATCCATGGTCTTCAAATACCACATTTGTTATATGTGTCATTCCAGCACGACAACGACAACAACGACAACAACAACAACAACAACAACCACAACCACAACCACCCACAACCACTACCACAACCACAACATACCACAACCACAACATACCACAACCACAACAACCACAACAACCACAACAACAACAACAACAACAACAACAACCACAACCACAACCACAACCACAACATACCACAACCACAACATACCACAACCACAACATACCACAAC